TTTTGGGGTTTTTTGTTGTTCTCCCGCCCTGGCAGGGGGTCGGGCTAGAAGATCTACTAGGTCCCTTCCGACCCTTAATCTATGAATCTATGAATCTATGAAAATCTTCCTCCATGAAATGGCCCTTTATGTCATGAAATAGAAGAGTTCTACAGATTCTCACGGTTATTCATTCTCACAGATGTTGTTATATGAATGAGTGCAAGCCACCAGTTAAGGAGCACAAATAGAACAATGTGGACATAGAAGCAGCTTGCATCTTCTTTCATGTGGAAAAATGCAACCTGGTATTATTCCAATAAACTTGGAGGATGTCCTTAGAGGAGGTTTTATCCTTGAATAATTACTTTTTTGTACTGTAGGAAATGAATTACTGTGGAACTAATATCTGTTTAATCTAAATCGTTCTCTTAAGTTAGTTAGCAGCTGGCCAGTAGACAACACCCATTAGCACCCAAGAAACTGAGGTGAGCTTGTGAGGAAAGTGTTATGTCATATAAAATATTTCAAGGAGCTGAGAGAGAACAGATATTGGCTTTAGTGGCCTGTAAACATTGGCCTGACATTTAAAACAGAATCAAGCATATGTCTGTGGTGTTTTATCGTTTTCTGGATCTCAGTTGTGCCTGCCTCTGAACCCATCCCTGACCATCTCTTTGATTATGGGCTTTCATTCAGAGCTGAAGTCGGCTGTGATGCTTATAGCTCAAGTCAGCTTGATGCCAAAGTTTGAATCCATTCTTGCATTCTATGATCATAGAGACTAAATGCCAGGGTTTAAGCCTCTCTTTGCATTCGCTGTTTAATATGTGGACTGGAGTGTGCTCTGCAGCATCTACAACACTTTTTTTCTTTGCCTTTTGAAAAAGGACAAGACAGGAGAAAACAAGTGAACCGCAAAACCAGCAGTGATAATTATTTCTTTGTAGTTTGCAAATGACTCTTACAGGGAAGAAAAAAAGTCCTGCCCCAGCTCCATCTTAACTTCACTGAAACAGTTTTAAATAGAACGGGGGGAAAAAAGCAGATCTGCCTATTTATACTTGCCTTTGCATTGATGCAGGTGAGAACCGGGGGTCTTCAATGCCACTAAGGAGGCATTGGGGACCAGTTCAGGAAAGATGGACGCTAAGCTCCCACTGAAATCAGAGAGAATGAGGCATGTTAAGTAACTTTGATGGGTTGTTTCACCCCTTCTTCCCACAAAGGAATCCATGTGTAATTGATATCCTCATTGTCTATTGTGCTTATGGCCTGTAGCTCTGCTGCCAGAATCTAGCCCTTAAATTGTTACAAGCTAGTTTGCCTAATACCAGATGCATGGAGATATATGTTTGCTTATTCTAAAGGTTTCTACAATGTAAATGAAAATGGCTTCAAGGTATGAGACCTGCTCCTCTCCATGCAAAACTACTCAGCTATTCCCTCTGACAGATGATGCGTACCTCTGTCCCACACACGCTCACATTTGTGCTTACCAGGCTTTAGAAAACAGAAATGCAAAATCAGTAAATTGAGGTTAGTACAAATGTTATTAATGTTCAAGGGATGAATCACACATTTTAAATTTCCTACAATGAATCATTCTCTCACATTTTACATTAATATACATTGTATTCCATATCTCAGTCTTGCTGGGCTATGCAAGGCTTTCAGTACTCTGTGGGACACAAATGCCTCTTCACGGATCTTGTCACTGTGTGTGAATTACCACGCCACTCAAAATGGGGGCTACGGTGCACTACTGACATAAAAAATAGGTTCTCAACTTGGGGATCGAACCCAACAGCAACCAGCTCACCCTTCCATATGGACAAACAGCAGGGTATCACTCCAGCTTGATTGGAGCAGGGTCCCAGAGGTGGTGATGGTATGGAAGAGGGCATGTCAGATACAGAAAGCCTGAATATAAAACATGTTGAAAACAATTTTCAAAGCCACCTTAAGTAACTTTGGATCTTAAGTCCTATTCACATCTTGCTGTTCCAGTTGACAGAAAGCTGAGCTGATTTACGTGCCTAGCTGTACCTGCTTGGCAAACTTACTCTTCCTGAAGTGGTGCTTTCAAACAGGCTGTGCTGTTCCATGAGTGCTGCCCCTTGGAAACAGAGTAGCCATGCCCATACAGTGCAGCAGGTGGGCTAATTTGCGACAGGGAAAGCTAATTGCAACTTTGACTCAGCTATGTGAAATAAGCTGTCTAACGTGCCATGCCAGCGTGACTACATGGCTTCTGGTTTGGTATTACAGTATGCTCTTAGGGACTGCAATTTTACCATAT